CAGGAAATGTATTAGTATTAGTTTTCTGCTGTGAGGTGACCAAATTTTCTTGGAGTGACAAAGAACTCCAATTTTCTGCCATTTACAGTAACATGAAAAGAGTTTGCAACTGTTCACACAAAACCTCCTCATCCAGAGCCAAATGCAGCTTTCTCGGAGAGGGATGAACATTCAAAGGGTATCTCTGTAGCACAGAGAAGTGATTACAAAACAAAGAATGGCTCAGCTTATCAGATCAGCTTTGCTTGTTTTCCTGAGAGCCACCAACCATCAATCAGGAATCGAGTCACTGCCATTCACATCAGAGTGAAGCAGAGATAATTTGATACATAAAGCTCTGAATTAGACAGAATTTGAAGAGGAGTAAGCAGGTGTTATTTTTTTTATTGACTACTGTATTGCTTTAATAAAAACAATCTAATTTTCAAAGAGCTATTTAACTTTTCCCAGCCAAAAATCACATGAAAAATCACCTCCCAGGCAAAGCCTGTTCTAAACTCACACAGCACATCAGATAAAAACACAGATGAATGCTGGAAATTCACTCCACAAGGCATTCCTTCATGGAATTAAGCACTCAGAACTGTAGATCTCAAAGGTCTGTGAAGAACCTTTACTCCAGCTTCACAAATACAATCCCAACCCCCTCATCTCTTGTAGTTTCTGCTCCATAGCTCATTGCACTGGCCAGAAAACTCCAGGTTTTCAATCTCTTTTCTCTAATATCAAATATAAACCTCTTGGGTTTGTACCTGAGGGTATTGCTGGTTTGTTCATACATCATCCCACAAGTTTATGGAAGTTTCACAATATCTGTTCAACTGCTGAGCTGCAGACACTGTTGCATCTTCTGCTGGCCAGTGCTAGTTCCCTGTTTCCCTTATCCTGCAGAACAGCTCCATCCATCACCCCTGCTCTGGATCCAGGCTGGGAGAGCTGGGGGTGTTCAGCCCGGAGGAGAGAAGGCTCAGGGAGACCTCAGAGCCCCTTCCAGAGCCTAAAGGGGCTCCAGGAGAGCTGGAGAGGGACTTGGAACAAGGGATGGAGGGACAAGACAAGGGGGAAGGGCTTCCCACTGCCAGAGGGCAGGGTTACATGGGATACTGGGGAGGAATCCTTCCCTGGGAGGGTGGTGAGGCCCTGGCACAGGTTGCCCAGAGAAGCTGTGGCTGCCCCTGGATCCCTGGAAGTGTCCAAGGCCAGGCTGGACAGGGCTTGGAACAACCTGGGACAGTGGGAGGTGTCCCTGCCCATGGCAGGGAGTGGAATGAGATGGGCTTTAAGGTCCCTTCCAATCCAAACCATTTTGTGATTCAAAGGAGGGGAGGGACTCAGTATATTCTTGGACACTTAAAACACAGGGTTAGTGCTTCACAAAACAAATGCAGCCTCTGATTCCGAAAAAAAAAAAAATACAAACTTCTTCCCACCTTGATTTCACTCCCTGGATTACAATTGCCTTGATAATTCATTTGAAAACCAAATCCAGCTTGCAACTGTCTTGAAAATTGAGTAACCTCAGGTTCAACTGTATTAAAAAACTTCAGCTTCAGGCAAAACTGATGGAACAGCTCATTCACAGTGATTTCACCAAGCCTTGGCCCTCACTGTATGTTTTTCTGATTACACTTACATTGTGTTACCATTTACCAGCAACACTATTGTATTAGAATATATATCAGCACTGGCTGACTCTGACTGCATGTTCTCAGCTTCATCAGCAGCTAAAGACACGCAGCTCGATGCATATTCAGGGCTCTGATGCCATTTCTCAGCTGTTGGAGCAGCTGCAGGAATCAGCAACAAGTTTCACAACTCGAAATAGATGCAACCTTGCAGGATCCTTGGGCTCAGGGCACATCCTGACTCTCATTCCCAGGTTGGTAATAAATCTCCTCTTCATTGTCATTTAATATAGAATTACAGGATCATTTAGGCTGGAAAAGCCTTCAAAGATCGAGTCCAAGTGTTCCCCAGCACGGCCAAGGCCACTACTAATCATGTCCCCAAGTGCCACATCCACACGGCTTTTAAATCCCTCCAGGGATGGGGACTCCACCACTGCCCTGGGCAGCCTGTTCCAATGCATGACCACTCTTTCCAGAAAGAAATTGTTCCTGTTATCCAACTTAATCCTTCCCTGGCACAATTGAGGCCGTTCTCTCTCATCCTGTCCTTTGTTCCCTGGGAGCAGAGCCCGTTCCCTCCCCTGGCTCCCCCCTCCTGTCAGGGAGTTGCAGAGCCAGAAGGTCTCCCCTGAGCCTCCTTTTCTCCAGGCTGAGCCCCCCCAGCTCCCTCAGCTGCTCCTGGTGCTCCAGCCCCTTCCCCAGCTCCATTCCCTTCCCTGGACATGCTCCAACCCTTCAATGTCTTTCCTGAATGGAGGGGCCCAAAATTGCCCCCCAGGATTTGAGGTCTGGCTTCAGCAGTGCCCAGTACCAAGGTGTTCACTTGGTACCTCGTGGTTAGCAGGACCAACTACAGTTACTGAAGATCAAACCCTCTTGAAACACCTATTCTGGTCCAAACTGGTTTGTTCTGCTCCTTCCAGCCCCTGCTGTTTGCTAAACACAGAGTTGAACACACTCTCCGTCCTCCAGGGAGAAGCCAGTGCCTCAGGCAGCCAGTCTTGGGGGCAAAAATTCAAGACTGGGGTTGGATGGTTTCTATCCTCAGTAAACAAAATCATTTCCTTTAAATTATCAACTCTCCCTGTCTTTCTGGAAAAAACCAACTCCTCTATATCATTTTCTGGTTGAAGGCCATTCTTAGCTCTCTTCCAGGTCATCAGCTCACAAACACCTCAAGAGCACAAGTACAATTATTCAGGGAACAAACAAACAAATGACATTTTGGTTTTATAATTTTGCTGTGTCAAAAAACTCCAGAGCCACCCATACACAGTGCAGTTATTGTACTTGCAGTATTTGTTAGCCCTTTCCCCCTTCCTAGCATGGAAAAATCAAGCACTGTGCCATTCCCACGTGTTTTTATCCATGATTATCTGGCACATGTCACTGCCAGAAGAGCCTGATATTTATTTTAAATTGCTGCAATAATAAGGGAAGTGGTTGTATTAGATTTACATTAAAATCATGTAATGCAAAACATTTAATATGAAAAGGGATTCCTGAACAAATTGTTTGCTCAGTGTGTTTCCCATGCAACCACTCCACTGCTCCTGCAATACCTCAGTAGATAATATTGTAGATATTGTTGTTAATAATACATAGGAACCACAGATCCCCAAGGAATTTCAGTACATATTTGCTGTACTTCCTCAGTTGGCAACACCGTCCCTTCCTTCCCCACTTCAGTGCAAAAACAAACTCTACATGTGCTCACTTACAGTTGTGCCTAATTATATAAATGTACTAATTATACACACTTTTCAAATGGTGATAGACTTCAAAGTAGGTAAATTTTAAATGGTGCCATTAAGGAAATCTATTTGATGATGGAAATTTCTGTAATATCATCTTGCAATCTCCTACCTTGCAATTTCGCTTTCATGTCAGTATTTATTTAATGACAAATAACAGCAGAGAATAAAAGAGATGGGAAAGCAAATTAAAGCTGTAAGATTTGCAGGGTGATATTGGTCAGCAGATTCTAACAGAAAGGAATAAAAGGAATTTGAAAAAGCAGTGGATCTAAGGGAAATAACGAGAAAAAAAGTTCTGAATTACAAATATGAACAGTGAACCTTGCGAAACCACTCTGTTAAATCACATAAACATCTGCAAGACTGACTTCTCCCCATGTGTTCAGCTACTCAGGAGAAAATATGTCATTGAACACCTCATTTACAAGCACAGCTCTCACACTGCTAAGAAAGACTTTCAGTTTATTTACTTGCAGTTCAGAGCACCTCTCTGCACACAAAATAATTCCGACTGTACGTAGGAACCAGCCCTACGAGCTCCTCCAGAGCTCAACCCCCCCAGTCACACACACCTTGGGGAAACCCAAACTGCTGCACAGGGTTTCAGCACCTGAACCTCCTCTTTGGACCTTCTGACTGGCATATAAAAAATACAGTTGTTTACTTTTAACATTAAATATTCACCTCGGCTCCTGGTTCTTTAACATAACACAAGTGAAGTCATCATATAATTCAGCATATGAACACTGAGATTCTTTTAGCACTATTTAAGTCCAGTGCTCTGATGACCCAGGCTGAGTGGTTTTTTTTCATATAAATTATAAGCATTTATATTCCATAGAAATGAAAATATTTTCTATTTCATAAAAGTCATAAGAATTTCTATTTCTCTTCTGTAGAACCTGGATCTTGCTTTGAAAAGAGCACGAGGTAGCTCAGACAGCAACCACAATGCAGAGACACTGCAGGACACTAATCCCCCTGCCTTTAGTTAAATAATAGCTTATGTGGCAGGGAAGAGACAGAACCCATATTCCCTGAAAAACAGGGCTGTACAGAAAGGGAATTGGTTGATCTTCTCTCACACAAATCCTTGTGTCAAAACAAATACTCTTAGTAAGTCACGGGCTGTCACATCCCATCACAGACATTTATGGAATGGCTTCATAGAAGCAACTTATAAGCAGCAGGTGGGTGATCCTGAGTTATGCAGCTCAAATATTGATCAGGACCTTCCCTCAACGTTCAGGAACTCTTGGATCTGAGATTTTGGGTTCACCCTTCTGAACCTACAGGGTTCAGGAGATGCTGGAATAGCTCTAGGATCACAGATTTCTGCTCTGGTGCAGCCACATTAAAAAAATCTCTTCCAGAGATTCAAAATATCTCTGCATAAGGACCTATTTTTCTGAATAGTTATAAAATGACTCACACAAACCAACACATTCATAAAAGTTGGAATTTAAAGCGACTGTGATGCAAGTTCATTATTGGAACGAGGAGCTCCAACAGCAACACAGAAAACACACAGCACAAGGAGTGATGTTGTGCTCACTGGTGACATCTTTGACCTCTGCTCATATGGGAAGGAATTCCACACCTTTCCCAGTGTTACCTTTTGATATTCCTCCTTAGACCTCAAGGCAGCTTCCATCTGTTCCTGGGAAAACGTGTAGATCGCCGAGCGATACTGAGTGCCAACATCATTGCCTTGCCTCATCCCTGGAAAGAGAGAAAACACGGAACACCATGAGGATCAGCCTCTCCCCCTCCCTGGGCTGCTGGGAGAAGGTCAAAACACCTGAATTTCACAGAATCTTAGCACGGTTTGGGTTGGAAAGGACCTTAAACCATCTAGTTCCAATCCTCTGCCATGGGCAGGGACACCTTCCACTAAATTTAGGATGCTCCATGCAGCTGGATTGGCACAGCCTCTTCCAGCAGGTGTTTTTAGGAAGCCCAAGTCTTTGGTTAAAGAGTCCCAAAGAGATTCAACACTGATACATCCATTTAAATGACATGCAAATGAAATATGAGCATTTCACATTTATTACATCACACAGCAGTCAAATCCAGATGCAAAACTTTCAGTAATTCAGCTGCACTCCCTGCAATCCATCTGAAAATATTCATTTTGAACCATGCAAATAGTTACCAAAAATGTTGATTTTACCAAAAAATGTTGATTTTACCAAGTGCTTATAATTTCTCTTGTGCTGGAGGAGTACAAATTAATGGCAGAAAGGTTCAAAATACCTTTGGAGCAAACCAGTTACTCTTGGCACAGGTTGCCCAGAGAAGATGTGGACTCCCCATCCCTGGAGGGGTTCAAGGCCAGACTGGATGGGTAATTTAGGCACAAAGGTTTTGTGATATTTAAATAAGCCCTTCAAAAGGCTGATTCTATGAAGTTGCCCATGTACAAATTTCCAAAATGTGAGATGGATTCTACCTGTGAAACTATAAAACAATGGGACAAAGCAGAGAGGTGATGATTGCCCCCCTCAGGTGAGCAGCCCACATCGGGTTTGGTGTTACGCAGTTTTTCACACCTTGTTCCCAATTTTGCACTCAAGAACATGATTTTTTGCTTTTCTGTAATAAAATGTGTTAATTTTGAGTTTTGTCTGGTGGTGCTGATGAACTTGGGTGAGTGAAAAAAAACAAGTGAAACTGGAAATCATCAGAGTTTGGCTTGTGACTGCCACCAGACTACAGAGGTCCCTTTGAAGATTTCCATCAACTCTCAGGACTATGAAGATGAAATGGAAAAGAAAATATATGTCCTGATAGCCCCCAAGCAAAGGGCAGAGGGTAGAGAAAGAACCTGTGATACTGGGGAAAAAGATACATCAATATATTATTACTCATTAAATCCTGGTAAGTTTTATTCCTCTTTGTCTTTAGAAGGCAACAGAAAAACGATTTAAAGGACAGGACAATAAACAAATGAAAACTGGTTGAAATATTTATGAACAGAGAGATACAGAAATACTTTAAAATATGTATTAGGGCTAAAATTCCTTCTGATGACCAACAGTTACATAAAAGAATCTGAAACCAAAACACGTTACAGAGTTTTCTGATTATTTTCACTGGTAAATTGTATTGTTACACCTAAAAACAGTGACTGTGCTCTTCATCAATACTTAATAGTCTCAACTGCCAGGCAGGGAATGTTTTGCTCATTCCTTTGCAAATGCTTTTCAGGGAGCTCTTGTAAATCCAGTGCTACTGAAGAGTTAGGAACAAAATGAGTCCAGGCCAGGAAAGCCTTAGTTTTGCCAGGATATGTTAATGCTAATTGATGTCTGAGCTTAAGCATTAACATTCTACAAATCTATTTATTGCTTAACAAACCATTGAGCAATCAACTAGGGAGTAGACCACAAAATCTCTCTGAATGGGGGATCACTCCACAGTGGGCTAATTTCTACCATGAGTTTAAGAGTATGAGTTTAGCACAAGCTCATGTGCTCTGCGAGAGAAGATAAGATTATTTAATATATGCATGTGCCACCAGGACAGAGTAAAGGAGAAGCAAGTCAGCTAAATTAATTTATTGAAGAGAAATTTAAGAGAAGAACTGACTCTGGTTTGAAAACACATTTAGAGAGGGGAAAAAAAAACCAGAGAAATAAAGATCTTTAGTCTTGTCAAAGTTACTTAATGAGGTTGGGTAATTGAAAGCCAAAGTGTAAAAAATAGCAGATGGGAACAAGGCAATATTCAAGCAGTAAAGAGTGTTTCTCCTTTGAGCAATGCACCTAAAGCCACATTCCATTCCTGAGGGCTTTAGATCAAGGATAGACATTTTCATAGAATCAGAGAATCATAAAACAGTTTGGGTTGAAAGGAACCTTAAAGATCATCTCATTCCAACCCCTGCCATGGACAGGGACACCTTCCACTAGCCCTGGTTGTTCCAAGCTCCATCCAACCTGGCCTTGAAGAGGGATGGGGCAGCCACAGCTTCTCTGGGCAACTTGTGCCAGGGCCTCATCACCCTCACAGACAACAATTCCTTCCCAATGTCCCATCTAATCCTGCCCTCTGGCAGTGGGAAGCCATTCCCTGTGTCCTATCTCTCCATCCCTTGTTCCAGGTCCCTCTCCAGCTCTCCTGGAGACCCTTTAGGCTCTGGAAGGGGCTCTGAGGTCTCCCTGGAGCCTTCTCTTCTCCAGTTGAACCCCCCCAGCTCTCCCAGCCTGGCTCCAGAGCAGAGGGGCTCCAGCCCTTGGAGCATCTCTGTGGCCTCCTCTGGACTGGCTCCAGCAGCTCCATGTCCTTGTGCTGTTGTTCCCCAGGGCTGGAGGCAGCTCTGCAGGTGGGGTCTCACCTGAGGGGGTAGAGGGGCAGAATCCCCCCCTCCCCTGCTGCCCACGCTGTGGGATCAGCCCAGGATACCAAAACTCCCAGAGCTGAACCATGTCAGTGATGAAAGTAGAAAGCTAAGAAGGATTCAGGCTGTGCAATAACAGCCCCTCCCAGAACCAAATGCTGGTTTGGACTGTTAAACCACCCCCATGGAATGAAGAAGACTGAACAGACATTTTATGTATTATCTCAAAGTGCAGCTTTAATGTGATCAAACATCTAAGCTAAAATGTCATTTATTTTCACTTGTTACTTAAATTAATTTGTACCTAAATCTCCCCCAATACATAACTAATATATTATCTAAGCCACAAAGACTTTGGGATGACAAAATAAATTCCTTGTAATAGACATAACCAAGTGCCACTGTTGCTGTTGTTATTTGTAATGTCCCTCACACAGACAAACTGACATCTCAAGGGTACATCACTGACTTTTTAAAACCCTCTGGCAAGTCCTATTTGCTGGGATTCACTAACTCAATGAGTAGCAAACAAGGCAAGAAATTCAATTTACTAAACAACTGTGGTAGGATGATTGAGCTTAACAAACTTAACAATCTTGTCTTTTAAAAACACATTTACTGAATAAAAAGTGACCTGTGCTTGGCTCTCTAAAAATTCCACAAGGTATTTGTGCTTAAGTTCTTAACTGGCAGAAGGAATAATTCCTACAGAACATCAGTTGGATCTTCTAGGAAAATGCTGGTTTCCTTCAACTGTGCTGCAAGAAGTCTCAAAGTCATTCAATCTGCCAGTTTAGGGATAGTTTTTAGGGTAGTTCCAGGGGATAAATCTCATCCTGAAGGACATAATAAATAGGCAAATCTGTCAGTAGGGCCTGATCCTCCTTTTCATTTGAGGCTGAGATCATACACAGGTTCCTAAAGTTGTTAAGCAAATATATTACCCCTGAGGAATCATGGAATCATTTAGGTTGGACCTCTAAGATCATCGAGTCCAACCATTTCCCATCAGTGCCAAGGCCACCACTAACCCATGTCCCCAAGTGCCACATCCACATGGCTTTTAAATCCCTCCAGGGATGGAAACCTCTGCCCCTGCCCTGGGAAAATACCTGTCTCCCTGACCAGGTGATCAGGAACACATCCAACAGGGACAGGAACAAACATACCCTGGAGTTGTAGGACTGGCACTTGCTGCTGGTGGAAAATCAGCTTTTATGCTGGGAACAGTCACAAAATCTGTCATCAAAGAGATGTTTAGACAGAGAGACTGATTTCAGAGCTGATAAAAAAGTAGATAATTTCCACCTCTCTAGCAAGAGACAAAAATATGTCTGGATGTGGTGCCAAAGTGTATAAGCCCAAATCCTGTGAGAGCACTGGCCAGTTGCTGCTCTTGTTTCTGGAGGATGAGGAAGCATGAGGGCACCTGGAGCTCTAAGTGTGTTTAGATGTTGGGCAGGGATTATATCCAGGTCTTTCACTTTGGCTGACCAAAGCAACTCAGCCTGGACCACTCTGGAGAACATAAAATGTCCTCACTGTGCCAGCAGAGACCAGAACACCAATTAATCACTAAATGCCCTCAAGAGCTCAGCACTTGTTTTATATGAAACAGAAATTTGTGGCCAGAGGATGGTAGAAAGAAAAGGGAGCTGTGAGGCTCTCCCAGATCCTGCAAAAGGAATGATTCCCAGGTTGAGATTGCCATGGAATATAAACACATTTCCACTGGAAAGCTGTTATTTGCCCAAATGTAGAAAACAAGCAAAGAAATGGCTCTAAAAAGCTCTCTCTTACCAATACTTTGCTATCTTCTGATGCACCTGGGTAGGGGTGAGATAATTTTGGTCTCCCCCATATTCTCTGGCATCAGAGCAGTAAATACCATCTCTCTTTTGGTTTGAAGGACCAGAATATGGACTGGAATATGGACTCCCTATCCATGGAAGTGTTCAAGGCCAGGCTGGACGGGGTTTGGAGCAACCTGGGATAGAGGAAGGTGTCCCTGCCCAGGTCAGGGGGGTGGAACAAGGTGATCTTTAAGGTCCCTTCCAACCCAAACCATTCTGTAATTCTGTGATTAATAAAAAAACATATTTCCCAGTACCTTTTTTCTGAAGAAATTGCCAACAAGCAAATCTGGTTCAAAATGGTGAATCTTTTATATATTACCTGTAGAAAGCTAAAGCAAAAGACACTTTATTTTATTGGCTAAATCAAGGAATTCTTTTGAAGACTCAATCCTCTAATGGCTTGAAAGTAATACTTAGACACCACTCCTTATCTTCCCTCCATTTAAAAATAATAAAAAAAATGTAATGGCATCATCCTTCAACTTTGCTATTCCCAGAGGATCCTAGGCATAATGGAGATAAAT